ATGATGAGAGATACATTTATATACATATTTCTTTAGGGAATGGTTGCAGTTGATCCAAATCTTGAAGGTGATGTTTTATGTATACGCGATAGTCAAAAAAAGTTCGATGCGCCCGATTCCTCAATTTTAGAGATTGCGAAAACTGTGAAAACTTCATTGCCCGGCCATTTAAATCGACAGATTATAATGTTATTATCGACACTTGGGGTGCCAGATGAGGTATTTATTGAATTACAAAACGAAATGTGCGCAGACATTGATGCAATGATGACGAACGAGGAAAAAGCACGCGAAATTGTAAAACGTAATATGGGCACAAAAGAATGCTTACACATCACGCGTACTATCCTTAGCATGATCGAAGAAGTTTGTATTAAAATATATATTATTTAACGAAGCCATACTTTATATCGACTAATTTTATTTTATCGGAAATTTTAGGGAATGATGAAAGGGATTGTTGATCCATTTTTAAATGCCCTTTTGGAATGTAAACGTGTTTATGCATTAAAGATGTTAAGACACAAAGCTCGTATTTTAATGCCTAAATCATTCTTATTATTGGGCGTTATTGATGAGACTGGCAAATTGGAAGAAAACGAAATTTATCTGCAAACCTCTACCATTGTTAGCGAACATCTAACGTTCAATAAAGCGAATGATAAAATCCGACGAGAATCTAAGATTTGGACAGATCAAGCTAGTAAGTTTTTGCACATTAAAAATGATTTCTGACTGTTCAAATACAATGTATAATATATTTTATTATTCTATAGTTATTACTAGGAACCCATGTTTGCACCCCGGAGATCTAAGAAAAGTTGAGGCAGTTGACATTCCCGAACTGTCTCATTTAAAAAACTGTATAGTGTTTAGCCAAAAAGGAGATAGACCTTTGCCAAATTGTTTGGTATTTAATATTATTGAATTTCTTTTATTTTAAACATAAATTTAGATAAATGTTATTAAATTATAAATTTTTTTTTTAAAAAAAAAATTTATAATAGAGTGGAGGTGATTTAGGTAATGATTTATTGTTATGTTTTATTATTCTTTCATAACCCGTTTAATCTCACGTTTTTTTATTTTTTATTTTTTACTTTTATTTATTTTTTTTTTTTTAAAAAAAAAAAATAAAATAAAATAATAATAAAAGATGGTGATACATTTTTCATTTGCTTTGATGAACGAATTTTAATTAAGGAAAACGCGGAACCTATGGAATTTGATTCCCAAGGAAAAAGAGAGTTGGATAGGGACGTTGAAATTGAAGATATTTGTGAGTTCTTTAAAGACTACATGCTAAACAATAGGCTCGGTCAAATCGCCAATCTCCATTTAGCATTGGCCGATTTCAATGAAATGGGTGTTAGATCTGAAGAATGTATTAAGTTGGCACAACTGGTAATATAACATTTATATATATATATATTTTTGATAAATAACAATCCCGATTAATAATATATATTTATCTTTCATTCTTCATAAATTATATATTAGCATTCCAATGCGGTTGATTTTAATAAAACTGGAATTCCGGTGGTTGAAAAATTGACAAGCCGTTCTGAATACCCAGATTTTATGGATTCCAGATATAGAGATTCTTATAGGTCAGAAAAAGTGCTGGGAAAATTATATCGCGACATTCAACTTGATAAGCCCGAGAAAGACCCTTTGTTAAAATATTATAAAAAGACTATAAAGATGGATGAAAATTTTTTGTTTGAAGGATATCAAGACTATATAGAAGAAGCTATTGCTTGTCGTGATCATTATAATAGTGAAATTCGAAGTCTTATGAAGAAATATAATGTTAAAACCGAGGCAGAAATTTTAACAGCGCAATTATTAGGATTCCGGCGTATTGATGGTAGTAAAAGTCAAGATATGCGAGATGCAATTATCGGGTCGATATTTTTCATAATATATAATTGTCGTAAACAATTCTTGATGGGCTTACATAACGATCATGAAGCAGATGAAGATGAAGATGAATTACCATTTAATTTAAATGCCCCGATTCCTATAAACAATGAATCAAAAGCTAAAGCTTCGGCATGTTACTATGCCACATATAACCAAGTTGAATATCCTGAAGAAGAAAAAAACAAGACCATCTTATTAAGTTTTCCTTGGGTTGTATCAGATATATTATTAGTAATTCGCAGGGATAACATGAATGAATTACAGGCATCAGTACCGTTAAATTAAGGCCGAAATGGTATTACCTGTGAATTTCTTATTTATTCTTTTACCTTTTTTATATGTATCGGAATTCTGAGTCAAATCATTGTTTTGGCACATGTTTATCTAACGAGTTTACAAACAAACAACGTTTAATTTTCACTTACTGTAATAAAAGTTTTAACGTTCCAAAGAACTAGTTCAAAAAAGTTCAACAGCCACAGCACCGCCCATGAGATTCTCGTTTAATTACTTCATGACCATATTTGAAAGGACATTTCCCTTTTCGTTTACTCGTCCCAAAATTAAAAATACAAATTTCATTTTTTATTTTTAAGTGGGAAAAAAAAAAAAAAAAAAAGAAAAAAACTCACGTATTAACCACAGCGAAATGACAAAGCCAGATGTTAATTATCAAAATGATGAAGAGATTGCTAGTAGTGATTCAAACGATGATAAAGAATTTGAAAAATCATTACTACGAAAAATGGATTTGAGAATTATTCCTTTTTTAACTTTTTTATACCTTTTAAGTTTCTTGGATAGGTAAATAGCAATAAAGGTTTTTCTGATTTGGTTCGCATAAAAGCATTTTTATATAATATAATGATCATTTCTAGAGTTAATATTGGAAATGCGAAACTAGCACATCTTGAAGAGAGTCTTGGATTAGTTAACGATCAATATAATTGGTGTCTTAGTATTTTTTTCGTGTAAGGCCTCTTTCTTATAAATTGAAATTGATAAAACAAAAAGTTTAACTTTTTCCTTGTTATAGAGGATATATCTTATTTGAAATTCCTTCGAATTTAATGCTTATAAAGACAAGTCCATCAAAGTGGAGTAAATAAAATATCAATTTTATTTTTATTTATTTTATTGTTTTTTATAAATGAATAAATTTCTCATACTTAGTTCCATCCACGATGGTATTTTGGGGAATTACAATGTCACTCATGACACTCGTAAGTTTCAATTTCCCAAGGAATCTTAGAATAAAATAATTAAAGAACTTTTAATTTAGGTAAAGAATTATCATGGGTTATTGTTAGCAAGATTTTTCTTGGGAGTTTTCGAGTCTGGATTATATCCAGCTGTTATTTATTATATTACAATGTGGTACCAACGCTCAGAACAAAATTTTCGTATAGGATTATTTACGATTGGGAGTAGTTTTGCTGGTTCATTTAGTGGTTTGTTAGCATACGGTATCGTAAGATTAGACGGAAAATTAAACCTAAAAGGATGGCAATGGGTTCGTTCATAATGCTCCTCTTTTTTTTTTTTGTTTGCCGTATTCTTTTCTCCTTTACTAACAAGGTTTTTGTTTCTAAACAGTTATTTTTGATCGAAGGAGGAATTACAGTTTTGGTCGCCTTTTTTGCATATTTTTACATTTCTGATTATCCTGAAAGTGCTAAATGGCTTGACGAAAAAGAACGTAGGTTTGCTACTCAACGATTAATTCAAGATGCTGGGAAAGCTCACGTAATCCATTTCGATAAAACCCAACTTTTCGAAGCGTTTAAAGATTGGGTACGTAAAAAATTAATTTGTTAAAAGTCTTTACCTTTTTTTTTTTAAAAAAAAAAAATCGATTTCTCTCTTTTAGAAAGTTTACGTGTCTATGATACAAATTTTTGGACTTGCAACAACACTTTATTCTTTTGCAATGTTTCTCCCGTCTATTGTAAATGGATTGGGATTTGATTTTGGTAATTATAATTAAATTATACTTTTTGTCATTTGATTTACTAACTACGTAAAAAAAAAAAAAATTCTATCACAGTCATATCACAGTTATTATCGGTACCACCATTTTTATGTGGTACTGCGTCAACATTGTTTGTAGCCGTACTTTCGGATCGTAAACGTATTCGTGGTCCATTTATTGTTATATTATCGCTTTTTGGGATAGTTGGTTATATTTTATTAATTGTACCTTCATCTGGTATCACCGGTAAGGAAAAAAAAAAAAAAATTTATTTTAAACTGCAAAGATTAAAATTATCATGTGTTTATATCTAGTAAAATACATTGGAGCTTGCGTTGTTGGAATCGGTGCAATTCCATGTCTTGCAACTTCAGTTGCATGGTAATCTAAGTTTCTCGTCTTTTTTTCTTTTCTTTTTTCCTGATATATTTATTCCACCTTCTCCTTCCCTTAGGCTAACAAATAATGTGGCAGGTAACGGGAAAAGAAGTGTGGCGACGGCAATGTTGGTAGCATTTGCAAATGTAGGAGGGATAGTAGGATCACAGATCTATCGACCAAACGATGGTCCACATTATTTACATGGTCATTTAATGGCTGCGATATTCTTAATTGTCTCCATTTTTTTTACCATTGTACAATATTATTGTTTAAAGAAAATTAATAAGAAAAAGCGAGAAGACCCGCAATCGTTCTTGGACGGAAAGAGTGAAAAGGAAATTGGTGCCATGGGTGATAAACACCCCGATTTTATTTATATTTTGTAAAATGATGTATCTTCGGTTTTATAAGATTGAATTAAAATATATCAATATCAATATTTATAATAAATATTATATTTACAAATTTAAGTCTAAACTTATGAGAAAAGTTACTTGCAATTGTAAAACGTTAAATGTCAAAAATTGTAGGTACATGATCTCGCATGTCAGGATCGATAACAGAAAATTTTTGGCGCCAAATGGAATCAATCTCTCAATCCGGTCTTTGTAGATCTTTAGAAAAATTTTAAAGTGAGCCACAAAACTCAAGACTTACATTATTTACAAATTTTGGTTTCGATTGATCATTTATTTATTCTTGAAATGTACTCATTTAATCATAAAATACATCCCTGCGCCATCAATATGAATGTTTTTGGTTTTTTTTGTCCAAGGTCGTGATTAAGAAAGTATGTGACGTAGTGAGTTTTTGTTAAATATCATATGAATGTCGCTTAATCTTTTTGATTTTTTTAACAATTTTTCTTTTTCTTTTTTGTCCTTCTTTTCCATATAATATATTTATTATAACTTTGCATAAAAAAACCAAAATTCTAAATTACATATGAGCTTCCTTATCCTAGACCCCGGTTCAGACAACTTAAAATAGACAGGCAAATTAACCTAGACCCCCCCCTTTTTTTAGTAATTTCAAAATCGGTAACCAATTACCATTTAAAGCTAGCAGTTTTTCTTTTAAAACAAACGAAATCAACAAAAAAAAACCCAAAAAAAAAATAAAAAATAAAAAATAACTTTAACGAGAAAAACAAGGCTACGCTAGTTTAACTTTTTGGACTTTTTGGACAATACTAAAGCTGACATTGCCAACTTTTAGAGATTAATTAAAGACGAGAAAAATTTTATATAATAATGTGCAAAGTATGATTCAATTGATTTATAGCTATACTTATTGGTGATTTGGTAATATAGTAAAGAAAGCCTTTGTTTTTACAGCCTTTTGCTAACTTAAAACTATTTATAGGAGAACTACTTCACACTTCACATCTAACATTATAAACATTACCCGTTATTTCTTTAAAAAAAGAGAAAAATATTGTAATTTAGTGAATGATATATTAGTTTTTTCTAATTCATGTAAATAGCATTTTTTGTAAAATATTATAAAATAAATCATAATAACATTTAATTTTTATTGTAACTATACCATGAAATTTATACTGCAAGAAAATACAATATGATATATAAATTTTTTATTTTAATTGCTTTTATCATTAACGTATATTCTAAAATCAACACTATCAATCATTATTTCTTCTGCATTATATTCATATCTTCTGCAATAAGTCTGATGGAGACTTCAAGAACTAAAACTTAAGCTAAATATTGAGATGATGATTGCAGGGAGCAAGTCAATATTCTGGTTTAAACAAACATTTTAGTTAAAGTTTTCAAAATGATTGCCAGCCCTTTGGGCTTATAATATCTAGGCTAAAATAAAGAGTATAATTAATTAAATTATTATGTTTTTAAATAAAAAAAAATATTAATTTATATTTACTTGTAAAGATTTAAAATAATTAATTTGAATCATTGGATTATTGATTTTTGATGGTCTTATTTTTTGACTTCTTTTGATTGCTTTCACAATATTTACTATATTTTTGCCTTTTTATAATTTTTAAAAGTTCAGATTTTAAATTTGTAATCCAATTAGGTAAAATTTTAAAATCAATATTTGATGGATATTCTTTTTTAATTTCATAAGAAATAATTATTCCTTCTTCTTTGTGAACTCAATAAAACTCATATTGTTTAATTATTATACAAGCAGATTCTATTATATAATTTAAAAGTTAAAATTAATTTGTATTTAAAAGGCAGTTTAATAATTTATATTAAAAAAATATTAATTACCTTTTCTCAATAAAATATTATTTAAATATTTTAAAATTTCAATGGTAATAGATTTGGTAAAGTTTTATCACAATATAAATAATTAATTGCATCTTGATAATTTCCTGAATTTATATCAAATAATATAATAATATAATAATATAAATTAAATATAAAAACAAAAATTTTTTTTAAATATAATAATATAAATATATTTACCAAAGTTTAATTCATTATTCAAATAAAAATTATATTCAGAAAAATATGAAAATTGAGAAAGTAGAGCAGAAGATGTTATGTTGATATTTTAAATTTTATATAATAGTATTACTGATATATTTTATACAATTTTAGATTCTAATACATTATTTTCATTATATTTTTTTTTGTTAATTTTCTTAGATAAATTCTTTATACCTAAAATCCTTTTATTAGATAGATGTCCTTTTTTATAAGTTATTAATGGATTTTTTACTGTTAGTATAATTTTTGTATACTTAAATTATTGATAATTTACTTTTTTAATTTTAAAGTAAATATTTCATTGAAAGAAGTATAAAAAACTATAATCAAGGTATCATAAATAGTTTTAAGATGAGAAATGTAATTGATTTAATAATTTTTTAGTTAAAATATAATTGACATTAATTTTATTTATATTTAATTTTAATTCAACTTATTTTAGTCATAATATCAAAAGTTATATTTACAAAATCAGGTCAAAGCTTTTGATAAATTTAATGAATACTGTATTGAATTCTCTAAAAAGTATATAAAATATATTTCACAAGCATGGGATAACATTACAAATAAAATAATTGAAAATTGTTAGGTGAAAGCAGATATTTTATCTAAAGATAATGATGAAAATGAGAATAAAACTAGTAATGATATATTACTTGAACTTAAACAGTTAAAGAAGATGGAAGAAGTTCAAGTATTAATCAATAAACTAGATTTTGACAATCCTTTTTCTGCCAAAGAATTTGTTAAGTATAATAAGTCTAAATTACAGACGAAATGATATCTGATGAAGAAATTTTAAAAGCAGTTTTATCTAATCAAAAAGATAAAACAGAAGAAGATTCTTTATTACTAATAATTACTTCTGGAAAAGTTATTGAGGCTTATGATAAAGTAATTTTATATTTAAAGCAATAAGAAAAAACATTTAGTATAAAAAAAGAAGAGTTAAGGTCTATTAAAAAGCTTAGAAAAGAAATTTTATAATAACAGTTTGTCTCTTCAAAACAAACTAATCTCGATAAATTTATTACTATAATAGAATAATAATTTAGAAAATTACCATTAATAATAATTAATAACGTTTATAATTTGGTTTTTTTTTACTTTTTATGAAATAAATATGAAATAAAATGACATCATAGTTACAGAAATTTTAACATATTAACTAAATAACACTCCTATAATTGTGTTAAAATTTTGTTGAAATTTTGTTAAAATTGTATTGAGAAACTACATTATTTTTAACCAATTTTTATTGAACTTATGTGAAATTACTTATTGATTTTTTACTAAATTGTAGTGAATAATTTTATAATAATTTTTTATTTATCATGAGATGATGATTTGTTATTGTTAATCTATTCTAATTATTTAATGTATTATATTTATTAATTTACGTAAGTTATTTTTGGATTGATCTAATTTTTATAAATAATATGATATATTATTATTTTGATCTTTTGTTTTTATACAAATCAGAATTTTGATTACAAAGAGTTCTTTTTATATTATTTCAATTATGAGTTTTGCTTGTTATATTTAGATTGATCTAATTTTTATAAATAATATAATACACAATTATAATATGATGCTTAAATTATTATTTTGACTTTTTATTTTTAATACAAATCAGAATTTCAATTAAGATTGTATTATTTCAATTATGAGTAAAAAATTTCACAAGATATCAAATCAAATGAATAAATTTATTTATAAAGGGAAGTATTTTTTACTATCGTATAATTTTCACCTTTTGAAATTTAAATCAATCTTTAAATCACTTTAATTTACTTCTTTAAATCATATTTTTTTATAAACACAAAAATGACTACAAGAATAATTTGGAAGGATAATAAAATTAATTTATTAGTCAATAAAAGAAGAAGGAGGAACGAAGAGTATCATACTAGTCAAAATAGTCTAAATTAGCTAAAAATCAGATGGTCAATTTAAATCAATTTTGATACTATTTACAGCCGATTTGTTATGTTTTTTGATCAACACAAATATGTGCCAATCGATGCCAATTGATTCCAATTAGACATGATCATTCAGAACTTAAATTCAATCATAATCAGCCTAAAATTAGCCTTAATTTGGTAACAATTCAGATGTCAATAGAAGCTGATTGACTCTAATTGAACATAATCATTTGTCATTAATTCAGAACTTAAATAACTATAAATTAGCTTAAAATTGACCTAAATTTAGCAACAATTTAGACGTCAATTGATGCTGATTGACTCTAATTAGAAAAGCAATTCAATCATAAATCAGCCTAAAATTAGCTTCAATTCAGTATCAATTCAGCAACAATTCAGACATTGATTGATATCATTGACTCCAATTGGATAAGCAATTCAGCATCAATAATCAGTATATTTTATTTATTAAATTTATTAAATATTAAAAATATAATAAAAAAAAAATATCACTAAAACTTACTGATTAATTTCCTATTAAAAATAGAATAATAAAATAATAAAATATGATCTATTTCCTTCTAAAATCCTTTTAAATCATCCTAAATATAGATATATAAATAATATATGATAAAAATATGATCTATTCCTTCCAAAATCGCTCAAAAAATGTAAAAATAATAAATATAAAATGTAAAAAATAATAAAATTAACCTGTTTTCACTCAAATCACCCAAAAAAATGTAAAAAAAATAATGTAAAAAAATAATAAAATCAACCTGTTCTCACCAAATTGCTTAAAAAACATAAAGAAAATAAGAAAATAATAATAAAATCAATCTGTTTCCACCTAAATCGCCTAAAAAATGTAAAGATAATAATAAAAAATTGACACATTTTCTAAATCGTTTCAAAAAAATATAAAAAATAATTAATAAAATCAACTTACTCCTATCTCAAATCGCCTAAAAAAATGTAAAG